CCCCCGATATTTAAGGCCGTAGTATATCATCTGGGATAAGGCAAGCTACTACAGCTGGAACTGGTTCCCCCTGTTAGCAGAACAACATTCTAATGCTGCTCGTGCATTTGAACTATGCAACTTCTGTTCCAAGTGCTCCTTTATAATAAGCTCCTAAAGGCTGCTCACACACACACACACACACACACACACACACACACACACACACACACACACACACACACACACACACACACACACACACACACACACACACACACACACACACACACGGGACGTGTGCATTGTTTGGTCGTGCAGAACTGATTCACTGAAAGAAATCGACCTAGTTCTGACCAAAACATCAGGCACATGAATCTGTGGATAGTTACTATGATTTAGCAACTGATTTGATTGGCTTTTTACAAGAAACACCCTCCTGCCCCAGGAGGAGAACAAATAGAACGCGCATTTCACTTTCAGAGACAGAAACCACACACTTTGATACTGTAAACAGGGGAGATGTTAGCATCAGGGCCACAGGATCTTTAATGTCTCAAATATCTTATCTTTAGTACTCTCTACAGTGCACTGTTATGTTTGTTATATTTTAGACTGGTCTACTACAAAATGGCTTTTCTATTCTTACCTGAGAAGGCAGTTCTATAAGAAGGCAATTCATCCAACAAGCGGAATTCAGTTTTCACATTAGCTTATGTTGGCTAGTGTGCAATTCATATTTTATTTATTTGAATAATGATTAATACTGTTTTGTAGATTTCCTTTTGTCACAGTAAGGGTATTATTTTTTCCCTTTTTTTTTCTTAAAATGATTTAAGTGTTACCTTAAAGAATTAGCAAATTACTTGACTAGCATGCATAGCTGGTTTATTCAGGGGATGTAAATATTACAAAATTGAACTAAGATATCTCCCAACAGCTCTGTTTTTGAATGAAGAGGAGGATGAAGATGAGAGTGACGATGACAGCGGCACTGACCATTTTAACTCTGAGAAGTCGGGCACTCGGCTGCAGAGGAGTGAGCGTCCTGCAGGAGGGAACTCTAATGTGCCCGACACCTTCCAGACCAGCCACCTGCTGTTCTACGAAAGGTTCAGGGCCTACCAGGACTACATGCTGGGTAACCACACCCTCTGACACATCCCACTCAAACACAATACAAGAATAACTGTTCCTGATCTCAGTGCTCATTGATTTATATATGTCTGTGTGTAGGAGACTGTAAGCCATCGGAGGTGAAGTTGTTCACAGCAGACTACCTGGAGAAAGTGGTGGAGCCGTGTGATTGGTTGGCTCTTTGGTCTACTGATGTCTTTGACGTCCTGGTGGAGGTGAGTCCCTCTTTCAGAAATGTATCCGTTAATATCATGAAATAATTGCACTATTTTTCACCCCATGTGACCCTGATGTCCCTCTTGATTGAGAGCAGAGATTTGGATGAGCTTGTGTAAGTTATATATAAGGCTGTTCCTAATGACTCGTTTCTAGGGATGCGTACCGAGAACCGGTACTAAGTAATTACCGGTACCTGATTGGACGGTATCGGTATCCCGTTAAGTAGTGATGGCAGTTTGACACTGAAGCTTCGAACGGAGCTTCAACCCTGGACTTCCTATTCCATAGAAGCAGTGCTTCGAAGCTTGCTTCAAATCACGTGACATGTGACGTCCGAACCAGCAACTGCTTCATTTCCTGAATGAATCAACTCACTGGTTCGCCGTCCAATCAGGTGATTCAATGCACTGCCTCGTCTCGATTCTGACAGGTGACAGGTTGAAACAGTTTCAAATTTGAGCGCTTCAACACTTTATAAGCGCTCTAAACAATACGCAATGTGTGGGTTGTTGTCGTAGTTTGCATTGTTGCTGTTGAGTTGTTGTTGGCATTGCATTTGAATTGGATCATTATAGAGCAAGCCAGGAAGAAAAATAGGTCGTTCTGGCTTGTGAAACACTTCGAAATGTGGAGAAGTTGTGAACAAAAAGACAATGAGTAATATAAAAACACTCTGATGGTCTAAGGAATTGATAGCCTAGTGGATAGAGCCGGCGGCCAGGATGCGGCGATATCCTCCGCGCAGCTGGTTCAAAGCTCGGAATAGTTAAACTTTTAATCATTGCTTTTCAACTTCAATACTTTAATAACTGATAAAAGGCCCTCTCCGCCCAAAAAATGTCCAGCACTCTCTAGTCTCTTCTCAATAACCCAATACACACAATTATCAATCTTTAATTGCAAATAGAACATGATATTCAGTCTTAGTGTGTGTATCGAATATTTTTCAAGGCAAAGATACGTTAAACCCACTGCAGCCTTGCACTTCGCCAGGAGAGGTCGCTGTAACTGAAGCTTCGAGAAATGAACCTATTTCCGACACAATTGTCCAAGTGGTTCGACGCTTCATTCAAAGCTTCATTTTGCCATCACTA